GTGGGGTGTGGGTTTGAGATTTCAGAAGTCCATGCCAGGCCCAGACACACTGCCTACAGATCAGGGTGTTGCTTCTGCCTGCATGCCACCATGCTCCCTGTCGCAGTGATAATACTCTAACCCTCTGAAACTGTAAAGAAGCCCACAATTAGATGCTGTCACTCACCAGAGTCCTGGGTCTCTATACAACAGTGACTAAGACACTTATAAAACCCTTTACCCCAACACCCCCTCAGGAGCTATTCCTTGTCACCCTGTGATTTCAAGTACCCACTGCTCCGCTCCAAGGGGGGTGTTTTCCTCCCTGAGAACCTCTATACCCAGTAGTAGACAGTGAAGGAAACAGAACAGCTTGGAATCAGCTGAGTGGGGGACTCTCTTGCCACCTCTCAGTGTCCCTGGGTTCTTTGTCCCTGGACCTAATCCCCTTTCCCTGCAGGAAATGAAGTAAGTTGGACAAGAAGTGTGGCACGTGCGGTAGGAAAGGACAACTGAGGAGCACGGGTCTGTGGCCACCGGCACCACTTTTCCTGCTTCTCCTCTGTGCTCCGTGGTTCTCTGAACAGACTGAGAAGCTCACAGGGAATTGGATATTTGAAGATTTCTAAGGATCAGATTGAGGACTTGCTCTTAGCAAATTACAAATTAAGAGTACAGATTGATACTAAATGAGATTCCATATTTACAATGCTAAGATGGTCATTAAGATATGGAATCACAGGCTAGAAAGATGGCTCAGAGGTTAAGAGCACTGACTGCTCTGCCAGAGGTCCTGAGTTCAATTCCCAGCAACCACACAGTGGCTCACAACCATCTATAATGAGATCTGGCGCCCTGTCTGACCTGCAGGCATATATGCAAGGAGAATGCTTTATACATAATAAATATTTTTTTTAAAAAAGATAAGCGGGGCAGTGGTGATGCACGCCTTTAATCCAAGCACTCGGGAGGCAGAGGCAGGCAGATCTCTGTAAGTTCGAGGCCGGGCTGGACCGACAGCCTCCAAAACAATACAGAGAAACCCTGTCTCGTAAAACCAAAAAAAAAAAAAAAAAAATATGGAATCACGAGGGGCACTTGGGAGGCAGAGGCAGGTGGATCTCTGAGTTTGAACCCAGCCTGGTCTACAAAGCGATTTCCAGGACAGGCTCCAAAGACACACAGAGAAACCCTTTCTCAAAAAAAACAAAATTAAAAAAAAAAAATGGAATCATGCCAGGCATAGTGGTCCATGCCTGTAATCCCAGCACTCCCAAATTGGAGACTTGAGAGTCAGGAATTCAAGGCCAGCCACCATCCTCAACAACAGAGGATTTGAGGTCAGCTTAGACTACATGAGCCATGGAGAAAGGGGGAAGAAAGAGAGACAGGGGAGGCAATCAGCACGGAACAGGAAAGCAAGCACTTTCTTCAAGAAAACGCAAGCTGGACATGGTGTCACACATCTGTAACCCTATAGGGCACTGGTGAGGCTTCAAGTTCAAGACCAGCCTGGACTTACTATAGCAACCCCCCCCCAAAATAACAGGAAGGAAGAAAAAGTTCACAGCACAAAGTTAGAAATTCATGAAGTGCTTTAGAATGTCTGGCTAAGTACTTAAACTTTATTTTTCAAAAAAATTTTGCCAAATGTGTTTGTGCACAACTTTTATCACAACTCTTGGGAGCCAGAGGCAGATAGATCTCTTGTGAGTTCAAGATCAGCCTGGGTTACATAATAGTAATAAGTTCCAGGAAAACCTGGGCTATGTAGAGAAACCCTGTCCGAAAAAAGCAAAAACAAAACAAAAGCATGGTGTCACACACCTGTAACAAAAATTTCTTTGTACTGTTCCTTTAAATTATGTCACGTTGTAGATTCTGCACCAGGGAAAGTGTAGAATTGTCTGAAAATAATGTGTGAGTGTGCTGGGCCAGACAGGCTGGCCATTGTGGTTCTCTCAGTGCCTGAAATGACTCTCCACAGTGGCTATATGACATGCCCTTGTGAACCCCACAGCTCTGCCAGGCTTCCACATGGTTGAAACAATTTTCATAGTAATACTGATCTCACTCTCTTTCCAGTGTGTTAACACTGGGGAAATCTTATAATTCAATGAGTCAGTATCTTCCAAATGACCGCTGGATAATTAAAAAAAAAAAAAAAAGCATGCATCAATAAAACTGCACGGCTCAGCAGGTAAAGTCACCTCCTGCCGAACCTGATGACGTAAGTCCCATCCCCAGAACCCACATGGTGGAAGGAGAGAGCTGAGTTCCTTTCACACACACACGCGCGCGCACGCACACACACGCACACACACATGCGCGCGCGCGCACACACACACACACACTGTGTGTGACTTGAAAGCAGAAGGGAGCCTATTTGAAGGGAGAAAGAACCATCAAGGGAGGGGAGGGGCGTGGGTGAAGGTGGTAAGGGAAGAAATACTAACAGCTTAGGGTGGTGGCATTTGTGTGTGAAGATATCATGGAACCCACTGTCCTTTAGAAATCCATTACAGTTAAAGTACAGAAGTCTGAGTTTGACCCCACACACCATGATTCAACCTGAACCAGACCTGTGGGTGGTGTAAAAAGGAAGGCAGGCTCTGCTTTGACTGGGAGGTAAAAATTTTACATTTGCTGCTATGGCCATTACTTTGTTTCTTTAAAGTTGATTGTAGCGTAACTTTTAGAATTGTCACTCTCTTCTTAACGTCTCTGAATTGCCACCTTCAGATTTCATACATTTAGGAATTTAAAACTAACTTAAAGGTGAATTAAATGAAAGAAAAATATAATGGAAAAGACAAATCTTTTTGCTAATGATGCATTTTCCAGTAGGAAAGTGCTATTAGATGGTTTATGCCCTTCTGTAATTACCATAGAAGAGAATTCAGTAAAAGGGGGGGTGCATTTCTTACCTCTGAAGTTCTGAAGTATCTTAAAATTCCATTGTCCAGCATTATTCAGATTTAGTTCTTGCCCACCCACCCCCATTCATTTTTAATAGTATTAATTGAAAAGACGGTTTTTACCCTGGTAAGTGGCTAAACTACTCGACAGAACCCATCTTACTCTGAATGAGGCTTCTTCAGTTCCTGCTGTGTATGCCCTGTGCATCACAACATTTCTTATTCTTGGTGTAAATAAATTGAGGGCTTCAGAGGACCCTTTTAGTGCCAGCCCTTGAAGCGCCAAGTCTAAGTGGTGGTTAGTGAGTCCTGAAAGCAATTATCTTTAGAAAGGGAGTCATCTATTCCCCACCGCTGTTGTTCCTCAGCGTTTGTATTGAAAGTGAGGGAGGAACTTAGATTGGCAAAGTAGCTCCTGATTATGCAGTCTGCTCATGCCTCCTTCCAAAGACTGGGAATCGAGTGCACTTGACAACTAGATCCTCAGTGTATCAAAGTGGGAGAGGGGTGAAGATAAGAGCCAAATATTACATAGAGGAAAGTGGTCGTTATATATTATATATTATATATTATATATTATATATTATATATTATAGCTGGCTCTGGGAAACATTTGTTTTGTTTTACTTTTGGCATGGATCTACCATACAGTCTCGGGACTCATTTAAGATAATAGTGTGCACATGTGAATTATGTAAAGACATTCTATAAGATCCACCAGGTGTGATGTGCATACCTTTAATGTTAGCACACAGGAGGGAGAGGGGGTGGATCTCTGTGAGTTTGAGACCAGCTTGGTCCACATGGTGAGTTCCAGACCAGCAAGGATCCCATAGTGAGACCCTGCCTGCAGTTCTTCAGCATACACTGTAGGAAAAACAGGTGACTTTTTTAACGAGTGTGTGCACCTCATGTATGCCAGTGACCAGAAGACCACTCTAAGTGACTTTTCTTTAGTTGCTTCTTTTTTCTTTTTAAGTTCTGTTTAACTGTGCCAAGTGGTTGGGTTGTTGTTTGCCTTTTTTTTTTTTTTTTTTTTTTTTTTTGCTGTTGAGAAAAAGTCTCCAGCATCCCTAACTAGCCTTGAACTGTATGCTGGAGAATGACCCTGAACTTCAGAGCATCCTTTATCTCCCTAGTGCTGGGATTACAGGCATGTGCTACCTACATTCAGTGTATGTGACGCTAGGGATCAAACCCAAAGCTCTGCATTCTAGGCAAGAACTCTGCCAGCCAAGTGATATCCCAAGGCCGGTTAAGGATTCTCACTATCTAGCTCTTAAGTGTGCAGTCTCGTTGCTAGCTTTGTGACTAGCATCAGTAAGAACTCTTAGAAATGTTCTATAGAGCAAGGCAGGGTCACACACAGCACAAACCATATACCCAGAAGGCAACAGTCGCCTGACTCTTGGCCCTTTGAGCCTCTCCCATACGGTACCATGACAACACACTGACGTGACTTAGGGCTCTGGCTCTGAAATCAGGTTGTCTAGCTTCTTGGAAGACCTCAGCCATCAATCACCAAGCTTCTAGACCAGACCACTATCCATCTCATCCTAGAGGCCCCAGTGGTCTCTCAAATGCGACGTGTTCTTTCCCACCAATCTAAGATTTTTGTCCTCATCTCCCAGCTGAGATCTACCAGCTATTCCAGTAAAAAGCCTCCCACCTCCCTCCCCTAGGCAATGCTGCAGATTTGAATCTTCTAGATGTCTTTCTAATCTGCCCTCTCTCTTTGGGTTCTCTTGGTCTTTACGTTATAGTCATCCCATTGTGTCCCCTGGGAGCCTTCCCATTGTTCCTAAGAACTGAAGTCCCTTAAGGTACTGACTGCATCCGAGCCACTTGCGGCATGCCTCTCCCATCATGCCTCTGGGCTCACAGTAAACTGCCAAGCACTAGCCACAACTTAGTGTGTGGGGAAACATCACCTGATTTTTTTTTTTTTTTTTTTTTTTTTTGGTTTTTCGAGACAGGGTTTCTCTGTGGCTTTGGAGGCTGTCCTGGAACTAGCTCTTGTAGTCGAACTCACAGAGATCTACCTGCCTCTGCCTCCCGAGTGCTGGGATTAAAGGCGTGCGCCACCAACGCCCGGCATCACCTGATGTTTGTAAACTGAGAAAAACTTCCAAACTGTAGCACATTAAGTTGATAGGGATGTCTTGGATAAAAAGAAACTACACTTTTCTCCCAAAGCAGCAGGGTAGTTGAGCCAAGGCTGGAACTGAGGACACTTCCTGTTTCTGAACTAGTTAGTTTAGCAAATGGCAAACACTCGCCTAGATAACGTCCTAGGCACCTAGCTGAAGCTTTCAAGAAGCATCAGGTGGACTGCAGACTGGCATCAGGTGGACTGCAGAACTGGCAGAACTTCTCATACGTGAGAGACAAGACCAGTTGCGTGAGCACGCATGTGTGAATACACACAAAATTAACTGTACATACACATGTCAGTGTACAGCCTCTGTGAAAGCATTTTCAAAGGTCCAGAGCTAAGGTTCTAAGCTTCAGGTCTAAACAGGTTTTCTGTATCACAATAACAGGTTTTTCTACTGATGCACTAAGACATTGACTTGAAAAAGTAAAAGAACAGGTCTATTTGAGCAAAGCAACTCCCAGGTGAGTTTTCCAGCCCCAGAGATGGAAGCAGAAGTCATGCGTCTGCACTAAAGCAGGGATATTATATAGGTTCTAGGTGGTTTGTGCCCAAGTATGGTCAAAAACTGAGCACTTTAGGCGGGGACTTGGGCTACTGGCAACTTCAGGGGAGGAGCTGCTGCAGGGACCAAGAATTCATAACTGGGCTTTTTTGTGTCTTTTCTTTGTTGGAGATTCTCTGAGAGGGCGGAGTTTGAAGAGAGAGGACAGGAGCTTTCTGGATCAAGCAGGAGTGAGCTGGGGCTCCCAGCTGAACAAGGGCCACCAGCCCTGCTGACCTTGGTGACTGGAGATGCCTACGGCAACCCAGTGTGGAGCTTGTAGAATGGGGACCAGGGCTGGGAGCCCTGAATTCTTTCAGGAGCCAGTAATGGCCCCAGCACCAGGGACCTGGGGAAAGGCTACCTTTCCTCAGCAGTGCATCCAGAAGATTCCAAGTGAGTGGACATCTTGTCTCACTGACCAACATCCTTAGGTGAAACAATATGGCCCTCCATCTGATTGGTTTTTTAAATAGGATCTTGCTGTGCAACCCAAGCGGGCCGTGATTACAGAATGTTCCTGACTCAGCATCCCAAATGTGAGGATATCAGGTGTGTGAAACAGGATTTTTGATAATGCTTGTATTTTAGAACAGGCACTTTGTAAAGATCACCACCAAGCTCACAGTTGTATATCTTGTATAACTGTCACAGGCCAGTAACCCAAAACTCAGGTACTATCACAGCTTCAGGGGCTGTGTGGACTACATATGAACCTGTCTGAGAAATAAATAAAAAACTAAAAATGAGGTAGACATTTAATGTCAAAATTACACTATTTGTCATGCCTTGTTTGCATTAAAAATATTTTTTATAGTCAGGCATGGTGGTGCACTCCTATAATCCAAGCACTAAAGTAGGGAAGAACCAGCGATGATGGCGAATGCATTTAATCCCAGCACTTGGGAGGTAGAGGCAGGCGGGTCTCTGTGAGTTAGAGAGGCCAGCCTGGTCTACAGAGCCAGTTCCAGGACAGCCTCCAAAGTTACAAAGAAACCTTGTCTCGAAAACACAAAACAAAAAAAGGAGGAAAATGGATAAAGTTCATGAAGACACAGAAGTAGCTAATATATATTTCACATCACTAAATATCATTCATATCATAGGAAGGGAAAAAGGTAATATTAACAAGGAGTCTGAACAAAGTAGTAGTGCAGATCTTGGGTTCTATGGCTCAATAGCAGAATACTCACCTGTAGCATGCACCAAGCCGTAGGTGTCCCATCCCCCCCCCAACACAAAAAGAGTACCAATATATGGGGGTTTGGGCAGCACTCATATTTGTATGTCCATAGTATCTGAATCCTTAACAAGTACATATATGTTAAATCACTAAAACAAAAACATAGTATCACTTGTTAATTTAAAAGTGGGCTGGGGGTGCAGCTAGAGAGATGGCTCAGAGGTTAAGAGCACTGACTATCCTTCCAGGGGTCCTGAGTTCAATTCCCAGCACCCACATGGTGGCTCACAACCATCTACAATAAGATCTGGTGCCCATTTCTAGCCTGCAGCTATACATGCACGCAGAACACTGTATACATAATAAATGAATAAATCCTTAAAAGACAAAAAAGCAGGGCCTGGCGAGATGGCTCAGAGGTTAAGAGCACTGGCTGCTCCTCCACAGAGCCTGAGTTCAGTTGTCAGCAACTATGTGGTGGCTCACAGCCATCCGTAATGAAGTGCTCTCTTCTGACCTGCAGGGGTATCTGCAGACAGAACACTGTATACATGATAAATAATTAAATCTTAAAAAAAAAAACAAAATAACAAAGCCAGGTGTGATAGTAATGCCAGTGCTCAAGAGACTGAGGCAATTGTAGCACAAGTTCTAGGCCAGCTTGGGCCATACAATAGTATTTCTCAAAACAAACACAAAATCCAATGAACCCTGCTTGAGTCTGCTTCTCAAAACTTATTGTCCTGTGATCTGAGCAGACTGCCTGCCTTCTTTAAAATGTAAGTAGCTAGACCTACCTCAAATACCTCACTAGTGTGGAATAAGATGATGGTATGTGAGGGGCATTAACAGTGAACATCCCATAATCAGCAGCTGCTGTCGTTGACGAAGAGAAACAGTGCGGTGGTCTGACCTGATACTGCGGGAGGTAGTATCTCACAGTTCATCGGTATTGTGACTTTATGATTGTCAGTCCCGAGGACACGATTTCACATAAGTACGCAGTGGAAAATGGCAGAAGTATATGTAGGGTCATCTCAAAAATGACATAATTTCAAGGTGAAATCTGTGTAATGATTTTTTTTAATGAAACTCAAACAACAGTTTGGGATTTTTTGTTTGTTCGTTGGGAGGGTCGATACAGTATTTCCATATGAAGAGGTGTGGTGTTTCTTTGCTTGTTTGTTTTTTGGTTGTTTCGTTTTGTTTTTACAGTCTGGCATTCCAAAGTTTACTAACAATCCAGATATACAATAACTTGGTACTTAGATACTGAGGTACGATGGTTAGGAAACATTCTTCCCTCACCCCTCACAGGGCTTCTCTATGTAAGTTTGACTGCCCTGGAACTTGCTCTGTAGACCAGGCTGGCCTGGAACTCACAGAGATCCGCCTGCCTCTGCCTCCTGAGTGCTGGGATTAAAGATGTCTGCACCTCCACCTGGCAGGAAGATACTCTAAATCATGTTTTCCCTGACTAAACCACTGTTTCTGTGAAAGTAGAAAACATCTTTACAACATGCAGTTTATAACATGGAGTGATCACACATCTGTGCAGAGGCTGAGCAGGTGCTGCATTCACTGTGCAAAGTACCCGTGCTATGAACCCAGACCATGGCTGCCGTGAAGCCCGGCCCCCAACACCTGAGATCCTCAGTCTACAGTTGCTACCTTTTGCTGCTGTGCTGAGAAATGCTTTGCTGCCATTTCTCATGCCCTTCGCAATCAGGGGACCCTGCATGGGCTGGACCATACTCCATCGAAGTATTGGCATTGACGCCGCGTCATCTGTGGGACACTTCCGTCGCCACAGGTGTCCCTCAGGTACCCTTTCTGTAGCAATACCACCTGCTTCCCCTCACTGCAAGTCTGTTCTCCATGCCCCTAAGTTTCATGGCTATTATATCAAGAGACTCATCATCCATTCCTGTATCTTCTGTCTACAATAGTTTGTTCTGTTTTGTTTTTGTCCTGGAAACAGTCTCACTGTATCCCCGGCTGGCCTCAGATTTACTCCCCCCACCCCACTCACCACCACCTCAGTCTCTGGAGAGTTGAGATTAGTGTGTTTGCCATCATGGCCAGCAGTGGTCCATCTCTCCTAGTGAATAAGTGATTCATAGCACAGCCTAACTATTCAACAACTAAAGGATAGCTGGGCTGTTTCTAGTAAAACCACGTTAATGTACAGTTTTGTGTAAAAGTCCATTTTCACTTTTTGGAATAAATGTGTTAAGTCATTGGGTTGTATGTGGTCTCCAGGCCATCTGTACCATCCCCCGAGCTCACCAGCAGCATGAGCCCATTCCTCTGGGTCTGTGTCCTCACCTCCCCCACCCCGCCCCCATGAGTGTGCTGACACTGTTTCTGTTGGGGGGGGACTACTGAACACTATCTGTCCACTTGCCATCTGTCTTTCCCCTCGGTGACCTCTGACCTCTTCAAGTATGTCTCACTTTCCAGTGTATTTCCTGCTGGTGACTTTCAGAGTTCTTTCTGTCCGGTGCAGGTGCAGACCTGAGGAGCTAGCTGCCGGCCTGTCCATCCTCTTAGCAGAACTGTGCCCAGAGCTAACACTTGTCTTTTCACCAAGTGCGACTTTCCCACTTCCTCCTTTGTGGATCTAAGTTTTGGGTTTTTTCCTAAAGTTCTTATAGTTGTGCTTTTACGTCAGCCCGTGGTGCCGTTTTTAGTTTGTGTGTGAAAGTCTGAGATGTGCCTCTGGCGCTCCAGCCCTGCAGCACCGTCCGTGGCTCTGCTGCCCCTGGACACCCACCACTCTGCTTCTGTGGGAGCCTGAGTCCAGGTCCAGGCTGTTGCTGTGATGTCGTCTCTTGAGTCTTGAGTTCTGTGCCACTCTCTCGTCTGGGCTTGAGTCGAGGGACCAACTTCCCCACTTTTTTGTTCATTTCTAAAAATGTGGTCTTCTTCTGGCTTCTACACAATTTTACTTCTGCCTTCCACACACTTTTGAACAGTCTTGTCTGTCTACAGAAAGAGGTCTTGCTGAGGGTTTGGGATTCGGCGGTGTGTATTTTCCACATATAGCCCCTACACATTTTATTAGATTTACTTGTGTATTTCCTTATTTGGATTGCAATGGTTTCATGCATTTCATTCCCATGTTCATTCCTAGCTTACGGAATTGCAGGTAGAGTTTGGGGGATTTTGTTTTGATGTATTTTACCCCTTACCACATTCCTTGCTAGTTACAGAAGCTGTTGTATAAATTGCCTGGATTCTGTACACCGTAGGTTTGCTTCTTCCTGTCCCGGCTGTAGACTTTTATTTCCATCCTGTTTTGGTTTTCTGCCTCTCATTCTGGGTGCTGTAGGAGGGAAAGGGCGCAATCTTTGCCTTGCTCTAGTTTCAGGGAAAACAATGCTGGTCCCTGGGGTGGACTTTCCTGGTGTGCTTATGAAAAAAAGAACCATCTAAGGATTTCAAGAACCTGGCAGGTCCTGGCTGCTTCTCACAGTAAACAGATCAGGTCCCAAGGACTATGGTTCACTGACTGAATAATGGAAAGCACAGAATTTGAAGTAGGTGCATTCAAATTTAAATTTTGACTTCTTTGCCTTCCCAGTGAAAGACCTGGGGCAACTTACTTACAAATCTCAAAATCCATTTCCTCCTCCACAAAAGGGAGGTGGAGCGCCATTACTAATGGATATGCAAGCTTTTGTGGCCTGGCTGTGGTGGAGAAGCCTTGCTGTGACTCCTCCCAGCACTTGAGTGGTTCTGTCTTGGCGGAAGATTGATTGGTTGCATTCTCAGGAGTCGTTAGTGTTTGCTTTGGGATCTTTAAAGGGCTAGGTGGTTCACGGATTGAGGCTTGCAGGTACACTACTCCGGTCCATTCCCTAGCTTCAGCAAGTCACCCGAGTTACCCTAGATGACATCATCTGAACCTGAGTACTGGCAGGACCCAGTCCAAGGACTGTTGTGGATTAAACGCTTTGATGTATGTACCATGTCTAACAGTGCCTGACACGTTAGCCTTGATGACATGTTAGCTGTGAACATTATTACTATAACGTTAGGACACATTTCTTATTTGTGGAATACCTTTCTTAAAAATAAAATTGTTTACTTTGCAGATTTTTTAAAAAATGGATTTGACCAACCATGGACTTATTCTACTGCAGCAGTTAAACGCTCAGCGAGAGTTTGGTTTCCTGTGTGACTGCACGGTTGCAATCGGCGATGTATACTTCAAGGCACACAAATCAGTTCTTGCTTCATTCTCCAATTACTTTAAGATGTTGTTTGTCCATCAGACCAGGTAACTAAAATGGTTGATAATAATCTATGGCTGTAGCCTCCTGACTCTGGGTCCCGCTTCCCACTGAGCACACTCTTTGCCTTCATCCAGACCAGGGGTCTTTCTGCCTCTCCCTGATATCCAGGCACCTACCCCACACCCATGTAGCCCAGCTTTTCCCTGCCTTCTTGGTGACTAATTCTTTCATTAGTACTTGGGAATCTTCCCTACCTGGCTCCATGCAGCCCCTCCCTTTCCAAACTGCCTTCTGCCTGAGTACCACCTATGGATTGGCAGTGACAGACAGGAGACTTCAGTGGCCCCTCAGGAAGCCCTCCTCTAGGCCCGGTCCCTGAATACCCCACCTTTGAATATTTAGTTTCAAATGAGGGGCTGGAGGGCACAAATTCCATTTCCCTCTTTTCTAATGTAAAATCTGACTTAGCTCCGTTTTTTGTTTTGTTTTGTTTTCCTTTGATTTCTCCTAAATGAGATTCTTAGTGAAAAGAATCTCTGGGTGTGGAAAGAAAATAATCTCCCCCTCCCTCCCATCTCTCCATTTTCCTCTGTTCTCTCCCCCATCCCTCCCTGCCTGGTTTGAGCAGAAGACCTTCCTTGACCTTGCCGGCTCCTGGAATTCAGCCCTGTTCTCTGTTCTTGAACCTTCTTAAAACGGCACCTTTGTGGGTCTGCTCATCCCACATTGTTCCTGTCCATTTGCACTGTGGTTTCCTGTCTCCACTGCAGTCCCATCCCAGAGGGCAGCTCTCCACCTGAACGCTGCAGTCCTCACCTGTGACCAAATGTCCTCTGTTCTTCACGGCTACACTGGCCTTGGGCCTCCTGGGCCCCTACTGTCCTTGTATGTTGTCTGTGACGGACAGGTCATCTTTTCAGGCTTTGCCTTTGCTGGTGGAAACTTTCAAGTTTCAGCTCCAGCCTCCCTCTTTCTGTCTGTAGAACCCTGTTCCTAAGTATCCTGCCCCGGCTGGCTCCACTCCATGTTTCTCATTGGACATGGATAAAACTGAACTGAGACTCTTCCCCCAGAGGACCCTGGCTCACCTGTGCTCTTACCCTCAGTTAGACCAAGCTTTAATTTACATCTGTTTCAGACCCCAGGTATCGATCCCCAGGTCATTTCTCTTCAGTACACGTCCCATGTGCTCTGTCCCTTCTTACCCCCATTTTGTAACTGTTCATCTCCCACGCCCCTGTCAGGTGACTATTCCTGGAGACTGGGTGAGGCATGCCCTTGACCAGAGCTTAGGAGAAGGGACACTGGGCAGTTCACTCTGCAAAACAAGTCGGGTGTCTAAGCTCCTTAGTCTGCCTCTTAGGAGTGGGACTTGGCCTTGAAGCCTGACACTTATCACCTGAGTGTCTCCGAGACACCATCTTTGTGGTTCTCTCACCTGAATGAAACTTTCTGAGTGTCCCGCCTACTCCATGTCCCTAATCCTTGCCTTCTTCCTAGTCAAGTGACAGAATCTTCGAGGATGACCACGTTGTGCTGCTTACAGCAGCATTTCCTTGACATGGCTCTCTGAGTATTACCCCCTCCCTCTGTTTATTCCCCCCACACACACACAGAGAATCTACTCACCCCACCCCACACACACACACAGAATCTACTCACCCCACACACATACACACACACATACACACACAGAGAATCTACTCACCACACACACACACACACACAGAGAATCTACTCACCCCCCCACACAGAGAATCTACTCACCCCACACACATACACACACACACAGAGAATCTACTCACCCCTCCCCACACACACACAGAGAATCTACTCACCCCACACACACATACACACACACACACAGAATCTACTCACCCCACACACATACACACACACACACACACAGAATCTACTCACCCCACACACACACACACAGAATCTACTCACCCCACACACACACACACACACACACACAGAATCTACTCACCCCACACACATACACACACAAAGCAGTTTGATAGATCTTCTGGGACAGGCACCATGGCGTATGGCTGAGTGTGAGCTTCTTTTTTTTTTTTTTTTTTTTTTTTTGGTTTTACGAGACAGGGTTTCTCTGTATTGTTTTGGAGGCTGTCGGTCCAGCCCAGCCTCAAACTCACAGAGACCCACCTGCCTCTGCCTCCCGAGTGCTGGGATTAAAGGCGTGCGCCACCACTGCTTCTAATAGTCACTTGTAAACATCTGGAGGAGCAGCAGGGCCAGGCGCAGGTGGCTTAGCACAGAGGAAGAACCGCTGGGAACATTTCCTTTTGAGGAGGGCATGTGAGATGCATTCCTGTAATCTTAGCACTTGGAGGGGAGGCTGAGACAGGAAACTTGTCTGGTCTAGACCAGCCAAGACTCTGTCTCAAAACAAATTTGTTTGTATATTCGCCATCTTTTAACATCATTTTGTAGATGTTATTTGCAGCCACTAATCGCAACACAGTGAATCAAATGACTTTACAAAAGAAATGTCTAGCTGGGCGGTGGTGGCACAGACCTTTAATCCTCGCACTCAGGAGGCAGAGGCAGGCGGATCTGTTTGAGGTCAAGGCCAACCTGGTCTACATAGTACGGACATCCAAGGCTTTTCATAGAAACCCTGTCTCGAAAAGCCAAAGAAATGTCTTTAATTTTGAAGTGTAAAGACAATGTAATAGGTTTTAATTAGATGCAAGAAACCTCCCTTATTTTATGTATAGGGTGGTGAACTAATGTCTTTCTAAGAAAGGGATGTGATCTTTGTGTTAGAGTCTGCTGAGGTCACCAAGGCAATTACATCATCATCTGTCGCCAAGGTCACCAAGGCAGTTACATCATTACCTGTCGCCAAGGCCAAGGCAGTTACATCATCACCTGTCGCCAAGGCCAAGGCAGTTACATCATCACCTGTCGCCAAGGCCAAGGCAGTTACATCATCACCTGTTGCCAAATGCCTTTCCACCGGCAGCCATGCCACATGTGTACCCTAAAAGTGTCCGCCAGGCACAGCTCGCTCTCTGGCCTCTTGCTCCTCTCTTCTTCCTCTTGTCTCCTCCCTGTTCTCTCCGTTTGTCTGTCTGCTTGCCGGCCTCTCTCATGCCCCTTCAGTAAACCTCCCACTGACTGTTTGGAATGGCATGTTTGCTTGCTGGCTGGCGTACCTTGGCAGGACCCACCCACAGGTACCCACTTCGCCTTTCCTTGTTTTAATCGTTGCACTGTGTGTCTGAGAACACCCACCTGGTGGCCCTCTATATGCAGAATTCAAGGTCACTGTCACAAACAGAGCAGAGGGCAGCATGCTTTTAACCAGTGCTTCCCGCCTCCTGGCAGAGGCTGAGCCCACGGCTGGGTCTTTCATGTCCTATAGCTACCACTAGGTGTCGCTATCTTTTCTCTGTAGACTGAGCACTCAAATAAAACTTCAGCTAAGAATAGCCAGCTGAGTGTGGGAGCCACACCTTTAATCCAGCACTTCAGAGGCAGTGGCAGCTGGGTCTCTGTGAGTTCAAGACCATCCTGGTCTGGTCTACATAACGAGACCCTGTCTCAAAAAAAAAAGTTAAACATTATTTAAGACTCTTATTCTAAAATTCTAGTGGAGACCACAGCATGTGTGGCTGGGCTAACACTCCCTTTGCCCTTCTCCCCCATAGAATCGAGACGCCTGGCCGGTGTCTGTATGGCAAAGCTTAGGTGAACTGACTATGTGTTGTAGAAGATGGAGATGCGAGTCTGGCCCCTATCATGTTGAATGGATAAAAAGAAAGAGTTCCAGCCAGTCCCGAATCAGTAGCTGGAGTGTCACACATACGTGTACACATGTGCCTACTGGGCAGCCCCAGGGACTCCCGGCTGGCTTCCTCTCTCTGCTGTTTTCCCAGCACTCCCTCCAGACCTGGCTGAAATGTAGGGTGTTGGTTGACTCCCCGGTTCTGTCCTGTCCTTGCCACGAAGGACTTGTTTAGAACTGCAGAGGCTAATTACTGTCACTGACTACTTACAAGCAAACAACAGAATGACCTGTCCAACCACCGTGAGCAGCTGCAAGCCCTTGTGGAAAGAGGCTCAGCCGGGTAGGACCTTTGTGAACAGTGAAAGGAAGCGCCGTTTCTATATCCCTCCTCTCTTGAGGACCGCACCCGTCTCCTGGAGAAACACACATCTTCAGACGCTCGGGTCTCTGCGGGTCTCTGCCTGATCATGCCAGTGGTGGAGTACACTTCTAGTTCCAACTCTGGGAGGCAGGAGGTGGATCTCTGTGAGTTCCAGGCCAGCCTGATCTACACAGGATACACAGGAAGACCTTGTCTCAGAGAGGGAGGGAGAGGCTAACAATAATGACAATTTAACAGTTGGTTTGTTTTTTAAGAAAACAATATCAGACTCAAATTTCCCACTCCCTTTGTATTGCGGGTGGATGCTAGGTTGTGTGCTTTCTTTGTACTGTTTGACATTGGTGTTTGTAGTTAATGTGAGTACTGTATGAAGTCTTAAAGTCTTCATGAAATATATACCGTGGTATCTATCCAGTAATTATTCATTATTTGTCCTGTCAGAAGTCCATCTTGAAATCAAATTACCCCCAAAAATCAAATTAGCCTTTTCTCTTTTCTTTTACTACTTCTTTTTTCCTTAGTGTCTCTCACTGTAGCTAGGCTAGCCTTGAAGTTCAGATAATCCTCCTGCCTCATCCTTCTATGTGCTGGGATTATACATCATGCCTAGCTCATCCATTTTTATTTTAATAAAATGTTAAATTAGGAGATTGGGTATGCTGTTACAATTTTAGAATGGTGAGATAATTGACTTAAACAACGAAAAGTAGTTATAATTGTTAAATCTGCCAAAGAGATCATTAATGCCAAGAAATTACATAGTCAAAATTATTGTAAATTCCAAGGCGTTCAAGGGAACTGTTTCCGAAAATGCATAGGATATATTCACTCTGTGGGTGATACTGCATGCCTCCTGGGCACACAGAGATATGGGTCTCATTGTGCTCAGGATACAGTAGAACTTCTTTTAATAGCAGTGGTCTGAGGAGTTCCTCACTTCTTCACTGCTGCTGTTTGGGAAGTGACGTCAGTCTGGAAGGTAGAGGCCAGCTGGCTATCTGTGTAGGTGGTTTGCCTCCATTCAGAGGGGACCAATGAAACCCAGCTTCTGCCTGCCCACAGAGCTGTTTTATTGCTCTGAAGGGTCCCCGTGTGGCTTTGGAATGAGTAAGTCTAGGTTCGAGTCCCAGCCCTACCACTCACCAACCGTAAGGTGAGCCCAGCCAGAGCTACCCCGGGGCCTCGCCACCTGTAAAGTAAGGACTGCGGGCGGTTGACAGAATGACTGTAAAGCCCACAGCAGGACCCCTGGCGATGCTACCATACTGATGAAGACTGTGTTGTCCATACCGCTTTCCAGTGCCACCTAGTGACGCTGGGAAGGTGACCGGGCTCACTTGCCCCCTGCCGGAGAGGTCCCATGACTGTGGGCCTCAACAGTTTAGCGTCCTGCGTTTAAGTGTTGTGCTCGCAACCACACCTGTGTCGATGTACAGCTTTGAAGGCTTTCCGATCAGATTAAATTTCTTTATTTACCTTACCCTGGCTGCTGAGCCGCGAACTGGGTCTCTAATGAAGCTGGGTCAGTCTGATGTGTGACTCCACGGGAAGTGTTCTTCCGAGTGTCTTGCCTGTTCTTCAGGCTTTGTTTCCGCCCAAGCAGCGGGTTGGTGTGTCTTCATGGCTTTCTACTGTTTTTCAGTGAGTGTGTCCGTCTGAAGCCCACCGACATTCAGCCCGACATATTCAGCTATCTGCTCCACCTGATGTACACCGGGAAGATGGCCCCACAGCTCATCGACCCTGTGCGGTTGGAGCAAGGGATCAAATTCCTGCACGCGTACCCCCTCATCCAGGAAGCCAGCCTCGCCAGCCAGGGCACCTTTTCCCATCCCGAGCAAGTCTTCCCGCTGGCCTCTTCATTGTACGGCATTCAAATCGCCGACCACCAGCTGAGACAAGCCGCCAAGATGAATTTAGGGCCTGAGAAACTTGGGCGGGAGCCGAGGCCGCAGGCATCCAGGATGAACCCGGAGCCGGTGCCCGAGACCTCGCAACTGTCCCAGCTGACTACACACCTGACACAGGTGAACCGGACAAACATGACGCCCGCAGACCCCCTGCAGACCTCGCTGTCACCCGAACTTGTCTCCACGCCTGTTCCTCCCCCTCCTCCTGGGGAGGAGACCAACCTGGAGGCCTCTTCCTCAGACGAGCAGCCGTCCACCCTCACGATCGCCCACGTGAAGCCAAGCATCATGAAAAGGAACGGCAGCTTCCCCAAGTACTATGCCTGCCACCTGTGTGGCCGGCGCTTCACGCTGCGCAGCAGCCTGCGAGAGCACCTGCAGATCCACACCGGGGTGCCCTTCACGGCCGGCCCACCCGGGGAAGGCCGCGGGCCCCTGTCGCTCTGCAGCAATGCAGCCGACCTGGGCAAGGATGCCCTGGAAGTGCCCGAGGCGGGCATGATCAGCGACAGCGAGCTCCAGCACATCTCCGACTCCCCCATCATCGACGGGCAGCAGCAGTCGGAGACACCACCGCCCTCGGACATTGCAGACATTGACAACCTGGAGCAGGCGGACCAGGAGAGGGAGGTGAAGAGGCGTAAGTACGAGTGCACCATCTGCGGCCGCAAGTTCATTCAGAAGAGCCACTGGCGCGAGCACATGTACATTCACACCGGCAAGCCCTTCAAGTGCAGCACCTGCGACAAGAGCTTCTGCAGGGCCAACCAGGCCGCGCGCCACGTGTGCCTCAACCAGAGCATCGACACGTACACCATGGTGGACAAGCAGACGCTGGAGCTCTGCACCTTCGAGGAAGGCAGTCAGATGGACAGCATGCTGGTGCAGGCCAATAAGCCCTACAAATGCAACCTGTGCGACAAGACCTTCTCCACCCCCAACGAGGTGGTCAAACACTCCTGCCAGAACCAGAACTCAGACGTGTTTGCCCTGGACGAGGGCCGCTCAGTCCTCCTGGGCGGTGGGGACTCGGAAGTAACTGAGTCAGACCGTCCTGTGTTAGCGACCATCAAAAAGGAACAGGAAACTGTATTACTAGACTGAATGTTACTTGTCTTTTTAAAAACTGTCATTTTTACACAGAACCTTCTCCCCCCCCACCCCCACCGCCACCCCCACCCTGGGGACAGTTTCTCCATGGCATGATACAAACGGGCCCACTCCTTTCCGGTCCCCTCCTCCGCCCCTATCCCCTTAAGGCTTTGTGCATTATAAACCTGGACTCTATTTACTTTCATTCAGGGGATATTGGATGGATAATGGTCAGTAGGATCTATAAAGAAATAGGTTTTGAGAAGTTTTAGATTATTTTAAAAACCTACTTGAAAATAATTAAGAGTATATAATAAAACAACTAGAATATAATTTGGTAAGCTAAAATTATGACTGTCCCCGGGTAATAAGTCTTCCTTCTCAAAGAAACCAAGTCGGAAAATACAGCATGCTTCTTAGAGATAAAGCTGGGCTCTGCTATGCAAACCTAGAAGGTGTGGGGAAACTTGAAACCCGAGAAAGTGTTTTTACTATTTGCCCTCTAGGTGTCCGATTTCAGAGTGTATCCTTTTGAGATTATGTCCAGTTAAGGAAAATCACTAGTTAAGAAATCAACAAAATGCGAGAGTAATAATGTGATGGCAATCTTCATTTTTGGATCAAACCTGACGGGGCTGTGAGTTTGTATGTGAGCGGACACGTGGATACTTGCTACAAAAAATGAGAGAATTGATGCTCATGCCTTACCCGATGCGGCCACTTTCCAAGATGAGCAAGAAGATGCTGGGTTTTGGTTTCTGGCAAGCTTGTTTTAAAGTCAGATCTGAAAGCACGATTCTGTAGAACGTCGTTCCGGACAGCTAATGACACGCCATGTCCTAGCAGTTGCCAGTGGGGAGCGTGTGTCAGCGCCAGCCAGCTGCCTGTAAAGTCAGTGTGTGTGCTGCAGGGAAAGGACTGTGAAACGCCCATCTTACAAGGGAAGTTTGAGCGGAAGTTGTAACTAAATGAGTGTAAAGTTGTTGCTGCCTGGCTTGGTGGTGCCCATCTATGACCCCAGAGCTAGGGAAGGGGATTGGGGATGGGGTGGGCCAAAGGCAGGAGAATTGGAAATTTGAGGCCAGCCTGGGCTACATAGAGAGACCTTGCTTTAAAAAAAAATAAAAGCAGTGCCCATAGTTCACTGGTGACATCTACTAAGGCATCAAAAAATAACGAAGAGAAATCAGGATGACAAAAAAAACTTAAATTTCTTCTTGGAGGAAAAATAAACAATTGATTTTGATATGTATCCTCCAATTTTTGTTAATACCTGAAATTTTCCCCACTGGCCTAACAGCATTAAAAGTTGTCCATTAATCTTCCCTTGGGCCAATAAGAAAATGGTTTCACAGGATGTAACAGGAGCCAGAAGTGAGGGCTAAGGGGTGAGGGGTGGGCTAGTGCATAGCTATTCCGTACGTGTATGTTAGAAACTGAATATCCCATTCCCTCTTATATGTATAGCCGAGTTCTCAAATTTGTAAGTTTTTATACATCCTTTCATTGAATAAACATTTAATTAAATGGGCATGTGATTTTTCCCTTTTGCGTTTGTCTACCCAAAGAACACGGAAAGGAGGCGTGTGGAAGCCTTGCATCAAGAGTCATTCTAGCTGGATGTACACCTGTCAGATAGACCTCGGGCAGTTCCTCCCAACAGGGTGCCCTTGTTCACACCGATAAAGCAGAGAGGTGTATAATTACACGGGTCATGAATTTGTGACTGCAACGGGCTCCAGAAGATGCCAGAGCAGGCTAAGCCTCACAGGGCGTGTAGATGTCATCCCACCAAGTATCTTCACAAAGAAGGACGTGATCAGGGGATGCCGCCTATCCCAGCACAAAGTACAAGATGAACCTAGATTATTTTTCTTGCTCTTTGGCTTTTTTTTTCTCTTTGAAACAGGTTTTCTCTGTATTCTCACCCATCCTAACACTGCAACCCTTTAATAAGTTCCTCATGTGGTGACCCCAACAATAACATTATTTTCTTTGTATTTCACAGCTGTAATTTTGCTAATGTTTTTTTGTTATTTTTTGTTGCTTTTTTTTTTTTTGAGACAGGGTTTGTCTGTGTTTAGCCCTGGAAACTTCTCTGTAGGTCAGACAACTTTGCTATCATTATGAATCATAATGTAACTTTTTTTTTTTTTTTTTTTTGGTTTTTTACGAGACAGGGTTTCTCTGTATTGTTTTGGAGGCTGTCGGTCCAGCCCGGCCTCGAACTCACAGAGATCCGCCTGCCTCTGCCTCCCGAGTGCTGGGATTAAAGGCGTGCGCCACCACCGCCCGGCTTCATAATGTAAATATTTTTAGAGATAGTTATTTAAGTGGGTCCCCGACCCAAAGATTGAGAACCCCTACTCCAAAGCCTCTTCAGGGCCTCTCCCCACACCCTGCCTATAACAATTCTATTATTCTTTAAGCTATCGCTCTTAATGAAGTTTCTCTCTGGGTTTGGTTTTTTTTTTTCTTCTTCTTTTGTTCTTCTTTTGGTTTTCTGAGACAGAGTTCCTCTGTAGACCAGGCTGGCCTCCAACTCAGAGATCTGCCTGCCTCTGCCTCCCGAGTGCTGGGATTAAAGGCGTGCACCACCACCGCCCGGCTTCACCACACCTGGTTTATGTGGTGCTAGTGATAGAATGCCCCACTATGCAAGCATCCTACTAGCTGAGTGACATCGCAACCCAGATGGTGCTGATGCTGACTGATGATGGTTGCACTCTGAGCAGCGCAGGTTGCCTGGTCATCTCTGCTGATATATAACTGTCCTTTCTTGCCTTGTGTTAGCTTCCTCAGGGTTAAGAAGAGTTTGCAGGCTCTGGGGTTGTTCTCAACTTCCTGTCCTCATTTCAGATGTGCTTGGAACCTTTGAACACTTAATAAGAATGTAGTAGCACATATGCCTGGGATGCCAGTACTTGGGAAGCAGAGGCAGGAGGATTACCATGAGTTACAGGCCAGCCAGAACTACATAATAAAACTGTCAGGAAACATTAAAACATTTAAAAAAAAGAAAAAAGACAAAAGCCAGGCACTTTGGGAGGCTGAGGTAGGAGGATCCTTAAGTGCTCCAGCCTCCCCCTGGGCTAGTGTGAGCTCCAGGTTAACCTGGAGTAAACTGGGACCTTGCTTAAAGAGAAGGGGGGGGGGGGGCTAGGAGGAGGGAGAGGAAGAGCTGGAAGAGGGCAAGTAATAGAGGTACTAAATTTTCTATGAAGCACCCGAGTGGTGGTGTCTCCTGCCTTAAATCCCAGCACTAGGGAGGCAGAGGTTACCCAAGCTTAATTCTTCACCCTGCTCAATTTCCCACAACAGATAAATCGGGATTGTATGTTGTTGGAGAGGAGAAGAGCGGAGGGCAGGGGAGGAGAATGAGCAGAATATGAAATAAAGCTGGGAGAAGCATGTGTTGGTGGTGTACCGGGGGATGGTGGGTAGATGTATTTGAAATGCATGCACGATATTTTCAAAGAATTAAAAATATAATCCCCAAAATCACCATTAATCTCCCATCCACCGTACCCAAGTCTCTTATCCTGTGGTTACCTTAGCCTCAACCTGTGTTGCAGCTTGTCTCAACTTTGTGAGGCACAAAAAGTATTGATTACGGCCAGGCAGTGGTGGTGCACGCCTTTAATCCCAGCACTCTGGAGGCAGAGGCAGGTGGATCTCTGAGTTGGAGGCCAGCCTGGTCTACAGAGCGAGTTCCAGGACTGGGGGGGGGGGGAGGTATATTACACTCATTCCAGTAACAATAGGCAGGAGGTGACAGATTTCCATGAGTGTGCAGTACTAGGAGACAGGACCCCAGGAGATGAGGTTGGGGCAGAGCAATGCTCTCATTAGACTGGCCTGGAACTTGCTGTGTAGTCCAGCTTGGCCTGGCCTACATCTTCCTGCCCCTTCTCCTGAAATGCTGGGGTCAGAGGTATGCCCTGTTAGAACTGAGAAAGGGGTTCTAATTGTTATCTGGTAATCGCTGGTGTTTTAGCTATTTTTCTATTGCTGTGAAGAGACACCATGACCAAGACAATTTAATGGAAGAGCTAACTTGTGCTGACGGTTTCAGAGCTGTCCTCCATGACAATCAAGGTGGGGAGCGTGGCAGCAGGTGGGTCGACAAGCATGGGACAATAACTGAGCACTTACGTCTTTAGACACAGCCACAAGGCAGAGCGCTAACTGGGAATGGCATGGGTTTTTGAAACCTCAAAGTCCATCCTCTTAGTGACACAGCTCCTCATCCTTCCCAACAGTCCCACCAAACGAGGGACCAAGCATTCAGATATATGAGCCTAGAGTGGACCATTCTTTGTTGTTGTGTTTTTAAGGTTTATTTATTTTAGTTATACAAGCGTTCTATCTGCATGTGCGCCTGCGCACCAGAAGAGGGCATCAGATCTCACGACAGATGGTTGGGTGCCACCATGTGGTTGCTGGGAATTGAACCCAGGAGCTCTTAGAAGAACAGCCAATGCTGTCATTCTTATTCAAAACACCACAGTTGGTATGTCAAGGGAAGTCCACACTGACTATCCAGAAACCACACAACACTGTGTTTACATGGGTTCTGCAGACAGACATGCAGGCAAATACTGTGTACATAATAAAAAAGAATGTATTTAAAAAACAAAGAGAAAACAGTGAATCAAGATGGGCAGCAGTGGCACACATCATTAATGCCAGCACTTGGAAGGCAGAGGCAGGTAGATCTCTGAGTTCAAGACCAGCCTCGTCTATGGAGGGAGTTTCAGGGAAAATCCTTCTTGGAAAAACAAACAAAACACCTTGAATCTAAGTGAAGCAAATATTTTATTCAAATCAGTTGTCAAATCACAATTTATTCAAATGAACATAATGCAACATTGTTCTTAAAAGGGCACTGATATAACACAGACACACTCCAGTATCTATCAAAATACCATTTTATAAAGAACGGGACTCACTTTGTTCTGCGCACGAATTCGATCCAGCATATAAGAGTGCAATCAAAAAGCACAACAGATTTCCTTCTGCATAAGATGGAAAACGTATCAAGACCTTAGGCACGCTCATCTGTCTGTGTCACTAAGAAAAGGGGCTTAATCTGCCACTAAGGAGACTGCTTTCCAACCTGAACTAGATTAGAAAGAAACAAGTCACAGTAATATTGGGACATTCTAGATGTTTCCAAATGGTGTTTTATTTCTGAGCTCCCTGTGCGAAGGAAAATGACCACCCTTCAGAGGACTACTAACCCACAAACCTAAGCCTCAGTGAACTTTAAAACAACTTGTACCTTCCTCTCAGGAATGTTATTTCTCTGTTTGCCACAGGTTATTGTTGAGGCTTGGAGCTTCTCAAGGCTTCACTATGGCTGCACACCCATCATATATTGCGTAATACAAAAGGCATGTGCTTGAACATTAGGAAAAAATATACAATAGGTACATGAGGAGGACTACAGGAGACATACATATAAACACATAGAAGGGCGCTCCAGTTTGAGAAGGAGAACTAGGTATTGCCGACATCGGTTCCAGGTTGAATGTAGGACCTTCCATCAGAAACATACGGTATCCAGGGAAAAATCAAAGGCAGTCTTGAAACAAGGAAATGTTAGCTGGCTCTAGCTCCCGGTGAAGCCTCAGGATTGTCGGGGTTGCTCTCCAAGGTTGAAGTCAGCGGACGGCCCACTCTCTGAATCTTAAGGGCTTGGCAATCTTGGTCTCAGGGTCCCAACAGCAGCATTTTGTTCTGCGGCTTGTCTTCACATTCTGGCCTTGCAGATATACAGTGAGTAACTGCAGGAGGGAGAAAGGAGAGAAAAATAAAGACCTCGTTTCCTGCCTCGGTTTGCTGACGGCGGAAGGACTGCACAAGAGCTGTGGGGATTGGGTACTTACTTGGGACGCTGGAATTGAACTCCATTAGAAGGAAAAAAAGGGGCCCAGTGGTGGTGGCGGCGGCGGCACACACCTTTAATCCCAGCACTCGGGAAGCAGAGGCAGGGGGATGTCTGTGAGTTCGAGGCCAGCCTGGTCTATAAAATGAATTCCAGGTCAGGCTCCAAAGCTACACAGAGAAACTCTGTATCAGGAAAAAAAAAAAGAAGAAGAAGAAAAAAGAAAGAAAAAGGTTGGCTAGACAGCTCAGTAGCTAAAGGTGTTTGCTACACCAGCGTGGAGATCTGAGTTCAATACTCAGAAGTGTCCTCTGACCACCTACCCCCCACCCCACAACAGCATAGCATAGGCACCCTACCCCACCCACATTATGGAGGCATGAACACATGCAACCACCAAACATTTTTTTTAGATTTGTTTAGTATACAGCGTCTGTCTGTATGCCCGCAGGACAGAAGAGGGCGCCAGATCTCATTAAAGATGGTTGTGAGCCACCATGTGGGTGCTGGGAATTGAACTCAAGTCCTCTGGAAGAACAGTCAATGCTCTTAACCTCTGAGCTATCTCTCCAACCCCCACCAAACATTTTTAAGGCTTAAGAAAGAAGGCACAGTGGATCCTCCATACTATTAAGGCACACACACACACACACACACACACACACACACACACACACACAGAGACAGACAGACTGGGGGATCCTTATAGGCTGAAGAGTGCTGACCTAGAATGAACCCTGGATTCCAAACTCAACACCGCACACAGAAGAAATGCATCTTACCAGAGCCAGATGTGGTGGCTCATGCCTGTAGTCTACTGATAGAAGATTGAAGGCAGGTGAATTACCTGGAGTTCAAGTCCAGCCTGGGCTACACAATCTCTAAAAAGTAAATAGGGAAGCTGGGCATGGTTGTGCACACCTTTTGATCCCAGCACTGGGGAGGCAGAGGCAGGTAGATCTCTGAGTTCAAGGCCGGCCTGGTCTACCAAGCGAGTTCCAGGACAGCCTCCAAAGTTACAGAGAAATCTTGTCTAAAAAAAAAAGAAAAGCAGGCCGGGTATTGGTGGCGCACACCTTTAATCCCAGCACTCGGGAGGCAGAGGCAGGCGGATATCTGTGAGTTCGAGACCAGCCTGGACTACCAAGCGAGTTCCAGGACAGCCTCCAAAGCTACAGAGAAACCCTGTCTCGAAAAACCAAAAAAAAAAAAAAAAAAAAAAAAAAAGAAAAGAAAAGAAAAGCAGACAAAAGTCAGGTGTGGTGGGACATTCAGCACTTGAGAAGTGGAAGATCAGGAATTGAAGGTCATCTGTGCCATCCTTAGCTACATAGTAAGCCCAAGGCCACCCTGGGCTAAAACAAAAGATAGCACGGTCCACATTGTGTCCCACTACTACAAGGCTAACAGCAGAGACACCTCCACCCAGGCTCAGGTGCACTGCAAGCTAAAAAACACTTGTCATGCTGTTGGGGCCTAGGGGTGGGGTGGGGTCTATGCCTTTCCTGAATAGCTATTAACTAGTTTTGGAAAGAGGATTTTGATTTATGTGTCTTTGTGTAAGTATGCATATGGTCACGGAGGAATCAGGAGGCCAGAAGGCTGAATTCCACTAGAGGTTGGAGCTGCAGCCTGACACGGGTGTTGGGAACTGACCTATTTTCCTCTGCAAGAGCAGTGCACATTTGTAGGAGGAGATTTAGGACTCCGCCATTAGCCGCGTGGCACAATAGAGGCGCAGACGGATGTAGTAATAAAAGGGCAGTTTTTAACGCACTGCTAGCCACACCCACTTTTGGGCGTGGCTAGAGGCGTGTATTGAGGTAGAAATATAAGACAACTACAAAGGTGCGCTCGCTCTCTTTTCTGCTTCCGGTTTGGTAGCGAGAGACTTGACTCATCCGCGTTGCCCGTTTTCTCTAGTGAGTAATTTCTACAATAAACAGTTACCTATACCCTCAACAAGCGTGCTGTCCATCGTTACAGCACCACACATTCTTATATTTTTGGTTGTGAGCCTAGCCTTTAACGGCTGAGCCATCCCTCCAGCCTAGACAGTACACATTCTTAACCACTGAGGTACCTCTCTAGGCCCTAAACTAAAAAGTTACAAGTTTTGGCTGATCTAGTAGGTATGGTGGCCAGCATGGGAAGGAGAGGGACAGAGGTCACCAGCCTGGTCAACATGGTGAGTTCCAGGACAGACAGCAAGAACTACAAAGTGAGACTCTGTTTAAAAAAAAAAAAAAAAAAAAAAACCAAGAAAAAGGAAAAAACAAGAGTAAAAGGAAGCCATTATTTTCAGGACATCAGTAAGACTTGATGGAATTCTGATTAAAACAAAACAAATAACAGGAGGTAGGCTGGAGAGACGGCTTGGTGCTTAGGAGCACTGCCTACACTTCCAGAGGGCCCGGGTTCAATTCCCAGCATCCACATGGCAGCTCACAACTGTCTGAAACTCCAGGTCTATAGGATCCGACACCCTCTCACAGGCGAAAACATCAATGCACATAAAAATAAATTTCAAACAAACAAAAAAAAACCCAAAATCTACTGTAGATCTTACTCTAGTTGATAATTATTTCCACCTGAAGGTTCTGAATAAAATCAATTATTGTCATGCAATTGTATAGATGTAGGATGTGGGGACGGGGAACCAGCCTCCCGGAAGGAAGTTTACCTACCCAACATCTTAGGATTCTGCCAAGTCTCCCTCTGGCTCCCGTAGGTCCTCCTCTGTCTGGGACTTCATCTCTTTGACAGACTCGGTGTGCGTTTTCCCTTCCCGAATCCCTACTTCCTGGGCATCTCCCTCCTCTGTTAGCTTTGGTCCATTGGCGTCTGGAGACTCTTTGGCTGGGTTTCCCGCGGCATCCACCTCTGCCTGGGCTGAGCTTTGGTGTTGGGGGCCGTCAGCGGCGTGCCCCTTTGGATCTTTGGATTCAGGTGGCAGCTTCTCTACACTTTCTCCTAATTTGGCACAATCGTCACCTGGCACGGGTTTCCCGCTTCCATCTCCCTCTGCCCCGAGCGGGGCAATCACCTGCTCGCACTGCTGGTCTTTGACACTGGCACTTTCCACTGCAAGCACATTGACCTTTTCTGAAGGCTCCCTCGTGCCTTCGGGAATATCAGACAGGGCAAGTCCGTCTTGGGCTGCAGCAGTCACGGCTTCCTCTTGGGCGGAGACTTGATGTTGGCTTTCTTCTTTGTCCGGCATCTGTTGAGCTCCCTGGCTGTCAGCCTGCATCAGCGGAACCTGGGTCTGCAGATCAGGAGCACTGGCTGTGGGGACTGTTTCCGTACGAGCGAACTGGTCCACGGCTGTCTGGATGATGTTCTCGACAAGCTTAGTGCTCTCACTCTGGAGCTCCAAGATCTCAGCTTCAGCCTCGAGGCCTCCCTCCCTTGCTGTACTCTCGCTGCCATCGGGAGAACCAACCTGCCCGTCATCTTCGTCATCTGATCTCTGTTTCTGGGATGCGCCTGTCTCTCCCTGCAGGTCAGAATGTAGGGTGTTTTCGGGAGTCGGTGATGCTATTACCGGGACTGACTCTGCCTTCGACTCGGGGCCCGAGGGCACAGTGTCCTCTCCATGCTGACAAGTCCAGGGGTCACCCTTTTCGGAGGACTTCTCTGCTAGTATTAAGTGTGCACCCGCACACTCCAAACTTTCATCTGTTTCCGAAGCCTTGACAGTCTCTGCAACCTCCCTCACGGATACGGCTGTTGGGGCTACCGGTGGGTCCGAGCTTTGAACCTGATCCTCTATGCAACCTGCCTTATCTTGGTCTGGGAGAGAAGAGCTTCCCTCAAGGCTGCTCACTTCCTCTCCCCTCTCTGAGTCGGAAGCATCAGCGGTCTGGATGGGCTGCGGGTGGGCTTCTTCACGCTCAGGAGACGCTGCCCTCCTCTCAGGGTCTTCACTAGCTTGCTCTGGCTCTGTTTCCATTTTCTCCTTCTCAACATCAGCTGCCACCTCTCTCTCCTCTGGGCTCCGCGCCCCCGCACTCTCCTCCTCCTGACATTCAGGCTCTCCAGCCATCCCCTCACCATCATGTGTCACCTCAGCAACCGTTTCTAGACTGTCGGGTCCATCTGCCTGCACGGACACCTCCAGTCCCTCCACACAGACTTCGTCTTTGACTCTTTCGCCATCAGGGTGGCCCGCCTCTTGACCCACCTCGGTGTTTGCTAGGACGGGCGCTGCTTCCACAGCAAACTCTCGCTGCACTGGTTCTAGAACATCTCTTCCTGGTGTTTCCCCGGGTTCTTCCTGGGGTGGAAAATGGGGCGGCACTGAAGGTTCCTCCTTCTGAGCAGGAGCTGCTTCTGCCTCTGTGTCCTGTGACTGTCTGTCAGCTGCAGTGGCTTCACTGTCCTGGCTTCCGACGGCCGTGTCTTGCTGGGTGGCATCTGGAGTGTGGTCGGAATCTGCTAGGGGAGTGCTTCCATTTGTCTCACTGTCTGTCAGGGTTTCAGATGACTCCAGGGCTACAGCTTGATCCATCAGCTGCTGGGGCTCTATAGCCTGGCAAGTGGTGACCGGCTCCTCCAACTCCATGCCCGCCGTGACTTCGGGAACTGCTTTGAGGCTATCTGGAGTACCCTGTCCAATCTCAGAGCCCCACGCACAATGCTCAGCTTCACGTCCCTGCACGGGCTCTTCCAGCGTGACGACGTCCCCCTCTCTCTCCACAGCTAGCACTTCGGAATCCTCTTCTACCTCCTCCACTTTCTCCAGAGCTTTCGGCCCCGCTCTCTGCACAGTCTGGGGGGCAGGCTCCTGTGGCTCCCCTTTTACCTTTTCTGCGACTACCTGGAGGACGGCTTGTGTCTGCCGCTCCTGCTCTTCTCTGTCTGGCACACCACCCTCTACCTCCTGGACCGGGGTGGCTTCCTCTGTGGTGTCTGGAGAGTCGGTTAGTTGGGAAACCGCTGACACCATGTCTGTGGTCTCTTCTGCCCCTGAAGCTTCGGTGACCTCTTCAGCATGGAGAGCCTCTGCGGTCTCTGCAGCTGTCACAGCTTCCGAAGTGAATTCCACCTCACTGACAACTGTGTCATGGTGGGTATCGTTGCCCTCTGGCAAGGTCTGGGTGACCATGGGGGTTTCTTTTGCAGTGACTTCTCTTTCGGTGACCTCCTCAGTGGAGGGCGTGGCTTCGCCTTCGGCCTGTTCAAGAGGTTCTGTCACGGAAGCGGATATCCAAGAAGGAGACCGCTCTTCGGCACAGGTGACTGCCCTGGTCCCGTCAACGACAGCCACACTGACGGTGTGAACCAGCGTCTTGCTAAGCTCCTCAGACACGTACACGGCCCCCTGTAGCTGGGGTCCTTCCTCACGCTCCTGAGCCTGCTGCGCTGCCATCTTCTCCCTTTCCACCGCGTCATACTCGGACAGAGGCACGACGGCCGGGACGTCGGGGTCATCCTCGTTGACTTCTGTCGACGCCATGTCTTCAGCGGTGGCTTGTTCTTGCTTCCCATCGGGCCTTTTCTTCCGCCGTCCAGGGATAAACTTCTTAATGGAAACCCAGGATTCTTCTTTGCTCGGCTCAACGTCGGAAGCCAGTTGCTCTGCTCCGCAGTCTTCCGTTTTCTCTTCTAGCTTCGTCTTGGACTTTTTTCTGGGAGTGACTAATCTTTTAAACGACTCCCAGGTGGAGACACCTTCCCCTTCAGAAGGACTTCCAGCCGGCTCGGGGGAGGAACTTCCCTGCGCTTGGTCGTGTTCCTGGGTGGGGGCAGGGACAGCATCTGCCCCAGCTTCTTTGTCCTTGCTGGCCTCTTCCACTCTGTGGCCGTCCCCTCCCACTTCGTCGTCTGATGACGACGCCTTCCTCGCTCTTTTCTTGGATGACCCCACGCAAATCAGCGCCTCCCACGACACAGAGGTGTCCACCTTGCGCTTCGGCTCCTCTGGCTTTTGCTCCTCCCCAACGGCTTTGACTTCTTCCTGCACCTCTGACACTGTGCTCTCCGTGGAGGACAGCGTGGCACTCTTGAGCTTGTCCACTTCTTCCTCCTTGTCGCTCTCAGAGGGCCTTCGGACCCGTTTCTTCGGTGTCACCATCTTCTTAAAAGATGCCCAGGGAGTGATTCCTTCCCTTTTTCTCTCTCCATCAGACGTGGCCCCCTCCTCGGCCTCTCCCTCCTGGTGGGCTTCCGACAGCCCTTTCTCCAGACACGTGATCTCCTCCTGCTCTTCTGGGGAGGAGGCAGAGCTCTCCCCCTTTTGCTCATCCGCGCTCTCTGGGGACTCGGTCTGAACCTGTTGGTGTTCTCCTGACTCTTCGTCTCCTCCGCCCCCTCGCTTCCCCTTCTGCTTCTTCCCAGAGAGCTTCTTTAAGCCAGAGCTACTGAAGAGTTTCTTCAAAGGGCTCCCCTGAACCTTGATCCTCTCCTGGGAGGACAGCATCTCCGCCTCACTGACAATGCCTTCCGGGTGCTTGGGCAACGTCTTCTCATCGGGACTTAGGTCTGTCAGCTGTGTATGGTCACCTCCGGAGACACACACTTCTTTGCTCTTCACCAGCTCCTCGGCAGGCTCGGCTTCCTGGGGGGCCTCCTTGGTCTCGGCCAGTTTTTCAGGGGGCAAGGATTCCCCCGCCTCTTTTACATCGACTTCGGCCTCTTCCCCCGCCTCCTGCTCCTCCGCCATCTTCTCTACGGTGCTCATGTGGACTTCTGCAACAACTTCTTGTTGGGCTTCCGCTTTCTCATCAAACACCTCCGTTGCCAATGGAGCACACTTCTCCTCCGGGCCACCGATCGCATCTTCCAAGGGCAGCTCCACCTTCTCGTAGTCTGCGGACAGCCTGGCCTGATTTGTGCCTCCCTCGGGCTCCTGCTGCTCGGACGCTGGGGCCTGCCCAGAAGAACCTTCTGTCTTGCCGCCTTCTTCCTCGTCGACTGCTTCTGCCTCTTGCTCCTTCTTCTCAGAAGTCTCCGGCTCGTCCTCCTTCGGCTTCTTGAAGCTGGTCTTTTTGCGCCAGCCGGCCCAACCGTGAGTGAAGAATTTCTTGAAGGAAGATGTTGTCTCGACGCTGACGGGACTGGTTGGAGATTCTGCGGATTTGGTGGGTTCTTTCTCTTGTTTTTCATCTCCTCCATCTTTGGCTTCTCCCCCGGCCACTTGACCAGATTCAGCCTGAAGGGGAGTTTCCTCCGTGCTGCTCTCTGCCTGCTTCGGGGAGTCCTCGGGCTTCTCTGTGGATTGCTTCAGCTCACTTTCTTTGGGTGCGGACTCTCCGGTCTCCAGGCCGGGCTCCTGGTGGTCTCCGGCTCCAACGGTGGCTTCTGCCCCTTCGCCTTCATCCTTTTTGACAGTGAGGAGCTGGACAGTATCAGATTTCTCATTTTTATCCTTTTTCACGGTGAATTTAAAGCCAACAAACTTAAATACCTTCTTAAAGCCAACATCATTCGCCTGGGACTCTGCAGGCTGCGGCATTTCTTCTACATTGCTTTCCGAAGCAGGGATCTGTTCGATTATTTCAGGTGTTTCTTCCTGCCCATCCTTTGTGATGTCTTCAACAACTGCAGAGTTGACAGCCATTTCTTTAGCTCGGTCTTTTTCCCTCACATCTTCTGACTCTCTCTGTCCAACTGTTAATAAAGGCAAAGGAGAAGAAAGGAAAAACTATTTAGCCCAACAAACAAAATACTTGCATTAATACTAAGGTAAAGACTATGTAGGTGGCCGGGCGTTGGTGGCGCACGCCTTTAATCCCAGCACTCGGGAGGCAGAGGCAGGTGGATCTCCGTGAGTTCGAGGCCGGGCTGGACTGACAGCCTCCAAAACAATACAGAGAAACCCTGTCTCGTAAAAAAAAAAAAAAAAAAAAAAAAAAAAAAGTAGGTGTTTGTTAACCCTTAATAGATGGGCTGATGGAGGATGTCCTTCTGTCCTTCTGTATGCTGGGAATGTATGTTTCTCTTATTGTCTGATGAATAAATGCTGACTGACCAGTAACCAGGCAGGAAGTATGCAGGGCTACCAGACTAAGAATGCTGGGAAGAGGAAAGGCAGGGAAGCAGTCTCCAAAGGGAGACTGCCATGTAGCCAAAGGAGTAACATGCCAGAGCATTACGGGTAAGCCACAGCCATTAATAGAAATGGTTTAATAATTACGAGAGAGCTAGCCTATAAGAAGCCTAATCCCAGCCGGGCGTTGGTGGCGCACGCCTTTAATCCCAGCACTGGGGAGGCAGAGGCAGGCAGATCTCTGTGAGTTCGAGGCCAGGCTGGACCGACAGCCTCCAAAACAGAGAAACCCTGTCTCGTAAAACCAAAAAAAAAAAAAAAAAAAAAAAAGAAGCCTAATCCGTCATCCAGTTTATAATCAATATAAGCCTCTGTGTGATTATCTGGGTCCAAACGGCTGTGGGATCAAGCGGTACAGAAATTTCCATCATCAATGGGCAATGGCCTTTCAAAGTTTTGCTCTCTACCTTCCCTCGGTTATCAAGGTATTAGATCCATGAGCTGGAGAGATGGCTCAGTGGTTAAGAACACTAGCAATTTTTGTAGTGTTATTACACTACAAAATAGACCTGGGCTCTATTTCAAGCACCCACATGTTAGCTGGATCCAACTCCCTCTTCTGGCCTCTGTGGGCACCGAACACACATGGCACACAGGTATGCATGCAAGCAGAAACACTTACAGAAGTAAAAATAAATCTTAAAAAGCAAACACCTGAATACATGAGTAGTGATACAAAAACAAAATCCATTAAATGAGGATCAAGAAGTACTACTTAAAAAAGGGGGCGGGGGACTGGAGAAATGGCTCAATAGTTTAGATAACAGCTCACAACTGTCTGTAACTCCAGTTCCAGTAGGTCAGACACCCTCACATAGACACATACGTGGAGGTAAAACAACAAAGCGCATAAAATAAAAATAAATTAATTAAAAAGAAAATCAGGCTTGGTATGGTGACACGTGACTTTAATCCCAGCACTTGGGCAGCAGATACCTTTGATTTCAAGGCCAGCTTGGCTTAAAGAATGAGTTCCAAGGACAGCTAGGGGCTACACAGAGAGACCCTATCTTCAAACAAAACACAGCCAAAAGACAATGTGTGTGGGTGCAGTGTCATGAGTGTGTGTGTGCACGTGTCTGTGTGTCTGCATGCAGGATGATACTGAGGTCTTCCTTAGTGGCTCATTTTATTTACTTCTTTTTCATTTATTTACTTAGTGTTGGAGGGTCCTGCCACAGAGCACATGGGAAGTCAATGGACAACGTGTGGGAGATGGTCCTCTATTCCTGTTGTTGAGTTCCAGTGTTTGACCTGGGCTCATCACATGGCACAAAGCACCTTGCCTGCTGAGCCGTCTGTGGTCTCTCACTGAACCTGGAGGCCACCAGCTTGGCTAGACAAGGTGGCTAGCAAGTCCTGGCAATCCTCCTGCTCCCACTGCCTTGGCCTTTTCTGTGGGTTCTGGGAATTGAATTCAGATCCCTATGCTTCTGTGGTGGGTACTCGACACCAGGCTCAAGACGTATGTTTTACAGAGGAAAAAAAAGTTGATAGACAGTTATAACTTCCAGTGTGATCCCTGAAGTCATTCTCTTTAGTGTGTAGATAGACCTCAATTAGTCCAGGGTGGCCTTGAATTTACTATGTAGCCAACAATGTTCTTGAATTTCCATCCTCTCTCCTCTACCCTCTACCCTCTAGGTGCTGGGATTACAAGCATGTGCCACTACGCTTATGTCTCTCTGTAGAATTTTAGAAGTAGTGGGGCTGGAAAGATGGCTCAGGCGTTAAAAGTACTGTGGCAGAGGAACAGGCTCAGCGGCCAGCACCCACATACTGGCTCATAACCATCTGTAACTCCAGCTCCAAGAGACCTGATATCCTCAGGGTGCTGGCACGGTGTATGGTATACATACATACATACATATGTACAGGCAAACCACTCACATAAAATAGTAAACCTAATTGGGGGTATATCAGTGTGCTGGGTAATTTTAGGTCAACTTGACACATCCATCTGAGAGAAGATGCATAAGATGCAGCTGTTGGGCATTTTCTTAATTAGTGATTGATGGGGAGAGCCCCACCCACTGTGGGAGGTGCCGTCCCTGGGCACGTGGTCCTGGGTTCTATAAGAAAACAGGCTGAGCAAGCAGCATCCTCCATGGCCTCTGCATCAGTTCCTGCCTCCAGGTTCCTGCCCTGTTTGAGGTCCTGTCCCGACTTCCTTTGATGATGAGCAATGATGTGGAAGTATAAGCCAAATAAACCCTCTCCTCCCCAGCTTGCTTTTAGGTCACGGTGTTTCATCTCAGCAATAGAAACCTTAACTAAGACCATCCCAATATATAAATAATGCATTGTTAAGTTAGGCAGGGGCTATAGCTCTGTGGTAGAACACTTGCCTAGCATGCTCTGGGCTCTGAGTTTGAGTTCTAAACCAAATAAAAAGGTCTGGGGGCCAGGAGGTTTGTTGCTTGGGAAACTAAGGCAGAAAGGATTGCAAGGTTGATGGCTAACCTGCACAAGATAGTTAGCCCTCCCTCATCTCAAAAATCAAAAAATAAAACTGGGCATGGTGGCAAATGTCTTTAATCCCCAGCCCTCTGAGGAGGCAGAGGCAGGTAGATTTCTGTGCGTTCCAGGCTAGCCATGTTTACATAATGCAATCCAGGACAGCCAGAGCTACACAACAGACTGTCCGAAATTAAATAAACCAAAATATTAAAAGAAACTTTAAATCGTGGTAGAAAATAGTAATATAAAGCCAAGAATCAAAAGTTGCTAAGTTCAAGCCAGATAGTGGTGGGGCTCACCTTTAATCCCAGCACTTGGGAGGCAGAAGCAGGCGAATCTCTAGAAGTTCGAGGTCAGCCTGATTTACAGAGCTAGTTCCAGGACAGCTAGGGCTGTGAGAAGCCCTGTCTTGGAAAAAACCAACCAACAAACCAACCAAGAAACAAAAGACAAACAAAATTGCTAAATTTATTGGGTGAAAAGTTGTCAGAAAGCATAAAGTTTCAGAGTATCAACACACAGGTGATAATCCATTACAAGGAAGAAACCTAACGGGTCCATAACCCAGTGACCAGGCGTGGCATCCTTGCAGGAGGAACCGAGAGGACACAAGTCAGCCAGCCACATTACACACTGTCAGACAGCCAGGCCTCCCGAGCACTGTGTCACCAAAGGTGAAAACCAAGCATGAAGGCTTGCCTGCAAGAACCTTCAGATGGCTGGAGAAGAGGGAGAAGAGTATGGAAGGCTAGATGTTCGTGTTTTTTCTATAAATGGACGTTAAAAGAATGACCAGGTGTAAAAAAGCAAGAGCACCCGAGGTAATGAAGCTTGGAGGTGGGGGAGGACTAACTGCAGGAACAGGGAGCACTCTGGGAGCACTCACAGCACAGCAACCAGAGATCCCTCCCCTGCCACTCATTAGGAAAAGTCACTGAAAAGAGGTTTGGTGGGGGAGGGACGACAGGACACTTCAAACTTTTTATAAAGCAAGATGACCATCATATTAAACATTGAGGCAAACATTCAGAGAGAAACGAAAACTCAAGACACAACTACACTGCTCACGGTGTCTAATGTTTTTCCGCATTGAAGAACAACCCTGTCGGTTTGTGCATCCACACGGATGGAAACCAGCATGATCCAGCTAGACACCATTCTCGTCCATGGACCCACAGGACTCGGTAACACTCCACAGCTACTTGTACAACCGTGTCTGTTGCTGCTCTACCCAAATAGCCAGGACATGGAACCAGCCAAGGAAATGACAACACAGATGTATGTTAATGCCACAACGGAACCTGCTGTCTGCTAACACGAAACATTTCATCTAAAACGTGTTACCTTTTTGTTAATTTTTTAAAGCATTTGAAATAAGGAAATTGACTTGTTTCTACCCGTTCCCACTAAAAGCCAACACTGGGTGCTCGGAGCATTTCCACAAACTATTTCCTTTGATTCATTCTGAGACAAGGTTGCACAGACCCCAGGCTGGCCTCCAATTGAAAATGGTAGGATAACCCTGAACTTCCGACTGAGGTTACAGAAATACACCACTAAGTCTGTTAATGCAATGCCAAGGACTGAACCCTGGGCTGGGAAAGCTCTCTAGCCCAGTGTTCAAAAATATTCCAATGCAAGAAGAGATATGACCATTTATCCACCGGAGGTGAGTTATGTGGACTGTACTCCGTGTGTGTGTGGGTGATCCAATCAGCGACTAATTCTAATAAATTTTACTAGTAATCAGTAAAAGCATAAATTGAGTATCCTGTCACAAGCCTTCTCTGGGATTATGAAATACAGGGATTTTTTTTCTTTTAACAAAGATGACAAACTGTGGCGTTCCACACCATCGCCTCCAAAATATAGGTTTTAAATTTGGAATACTTCCACATTTTTGTTTGTTTTGAGGCAGAGTTTCTTTGTGTAGCCCTGACTATCCTGGAACTCACTCTGTAGACCAAGCTAGACTCAAACTCAGAGATCCACCTGCCTCTGCCTCTCAGGTGCTGGGATTAAAGGTGTGCGCCACCACTGCCCGGCTAAGAACAAGTGTTTTTAGTCTCTGAGCCATCTCTCCAGGCCCCTTTCTAATTCT